CCGGAATTGGTGTAAAGAGCATTATGGATTTCAACAGACGAGGTAGAGCCAGAGTCCCCCAGAGACAATCTCTTCTCAAAGGATAAGTTCAATTCTTCAGAGAGAAGCCACGAAGAGACTTGATTAAAAGTGACTGTGGCAATATTGGTGCGAATGTTTTGCTTGAGAGAGGCGTAGTCGGCCGGTAGACCGCGAAGAACACACAAAATAATATCTTGTTCAGAGATATCTTCATGTGCCAATTTGAGAGACGACACAATGGTGAGAACAGTATCCAAGTACGTTTGCATTGAATCAGTGCCCTTAGTAACACTGTGCAAGCGCTCCTTCAGTTGAAAAATATGAGTGCGTGAAAGAGAATTGTACCGTTGTTCGAGATGATTCCAGATTGCAGCAGAAGTGGGAAGAGCATGAATATGAGTCTGAACAGTGGGGGAAACAATCGCAAGGAGACAGGCCCGAATCTGAGCATCAACAATAAGCCACGATTCATACGCTGGATTTGGTTTCATAACCGGGGGTGCATCCTTGTTTGGTGCCGTAGCCTTCTCATCAAGAATAAGAGCCGGTGGTGATGGTTCAGATCCATCAACATAACTGAGTAAGCGATGAGCAAGAAGATTTGCACGAACAGTAGCAGACCAAGAGGGATAATTGGTGTCATCAAGCTTGACCAAAGTTAGGGATTGAAGATTTCGGAAAAACAATTTGAGACCCGTAGGAAGATGATCCATAGGATCAGGTGATAAGACAGCCATGACTGGTCACGGCAGAAGCTGGTGCGAGGGAGAAGCAGAAAGAATTTTTTTTTCTTCGGTTAACGCAGCGACGGAGTAGGTCGAGACGGATCTCCGTGCTCCGATACCATGTTGATTTATGAATTCACTCTTAAGGAATAATTGTGTACATGGATGTTTATATAGGTGAGGATCCCTACATGGACTAAGATTCACCAAATAAGTAAACTAACATAAATAACAATTCTACTATAACTAGACTTCTTTCCATATATGTCTAACATAAAGTTATTAAACCTTTTTGGACATGTTCAAGTATTATGTTTGAACATGTAAGGGTTTAATTGCACATTTGAAAGCATTTCTTCCACGGTTGATTATTTCAAGGAAATTTATCAAGGAATCATAATATTCAGGTATTAAAACTTTATAATTTTATGTATTAATTACCTCTATTTTACATATTATGTTTATCCAATGAGTATGAGTCTGATTATGAATGGGTAAAATGATTTTTTTAATTATTTATTCCTGGACCTTAATTGAATTATATATTGATTTTAATATATTTTTACCCTTGCATATAATTATTTTTACGTCATAAATTACTAAGTAAACTTCATTTCAATATCCAATTTAATGTATTTATGCATCATACCTTTATTTGATTCATCATCCCTCACTATCTTGGAACTGATTGTTGCACTTTTTGTGAGCTTTCTCATTCCAACAAAATTCCTGAATTAACATGTTTAATTTTAATGAATGATTAGAACCATTTTAAGAAACAATGATTTCATACTCTTTGTAAAAAAGTGAAAATACGTTTTTAATTTTTAACAGTATATTTCAATTTTTGCAATGATGCATTCAAAACAGAATATTAAGTTGTTATAGAATATTTATAATTTGGTATAGTAATAATGAAAAAATAAGAAAGAGTGTTTTCTCACCTTGAAAAAGAAGACTTTAACTTGATTATCTTCAATAAGAGTGTATTGAATGCGGTATTATTGAATGTGGTTGGTGGTGTAGTTGTATGCAATTTATTGTGGTAAGGAATAGGTTGAGAGGTTGAGAGATAAGTAATTAGAGATGTGTAGTGAGAGATATAAATGAGGAGAACTTAGGGTAGTACCAACTTAGAACCTAAGGCTACATACTTTAGAGGTGTATTGCTCTACAAAAAATAATCACACGGTTTATACTCTATTAAATTTATACGGAGTATATATTTAGGGCATTTTATAACTATAATACGTTTATACTGAACAATATAAATTTTTCACTGAAAAAATTTCATGTAATATATTTATAGTTAATTTAAAGGGAAATTTTTTCTAGATCTCAATTCGATTAAAATATTTCAAAAAATAAAACATGAATAATATTTTGCAGTTTATATATATATATATATATATACATACATATATATATATATGTATGTATGTATGTATGTATGTATGTATGTATGTATGTATGTATGTATGTATGTATGTATATGTGTGTGTGTGTGTGTGTATATATATATATGTATGTATGTATGTATGTATGTATGTATGTATATGTGTGTGTATGTATGTATGTGTGTGTATATATATATATATATATATATATATATATATACACCAAGTAAATACCAATTAGCGCATTAAAATGTTATTTTAATATTTAATTTAATAAATATATTTTTTAATTGTTTAGGTATAAGGCAGTTATTATTAAAAATGAAATGCCTTTGATGATAATATTTTTCCAATTCCTAATTAACGTTTTTCAAGTGAAATAATTTTTTTAATTACAAAATTGATTTTTAGGATATTAAAATTTATCCAAATCTTTTTTATTAAACCCACAGAATATTAAAAAATATTTCTCTTTAATATTTTAAAATTTATATTCCGTATTTTATATGGTAGTAGGGCATAGCTTATGGTTTGGAACTGCTTAAGTAATGATGTAGCCGTCTTTCACAGTGAATTGTATTTAATGCTCTGTTTCCCACGCTTTCTTAGGCATTAGTAACTTAATAAATTGTTCTCAACCCAATGTAATTTCCAGCCGCCGTTTGAGATCCGTGTATGCATTAAATGCCTTGTTCCCCATGCCTATTCTCAACCATTTTAAAAGAGTATTAAATGGTAGGTTACATAATGTCTAATCCAGCCACCGTTTGAGTTGCGTGCTAGTGTAACAGAGCACCCATTAAATACTATTTTTTACTAAATGCTTTTTTTAATAAATTCAGCAGCCGTTTTTTCATTCATAAAATTGATTGTAGAAGTTTAGAAACTTTAGAAGTTTAGATGGCCAAATATTCATTCATAAAATTGATTGTAGGTCTTCGTTTATTCAAAAAAGTGCAAAAATTGTTTTTCTTCTTATTGATTTTCACAAAGAACAATTACAAATTATAGAAAGTTTATAGATATTTTCCAGGTAAGTTATTTTCAACTCTCTACGTTTTTTTACCATACTAAAAAATTTAGATTCTGTTTAACAATATATATAAAGGGTTTTAATCACAAATATGCAATAAAATGGTAAAAATTACGGAGTATATTTTCAGAGGTTATTAGTTCATTTTATACTGAGTTGGTTAGTATATTTTTAATAGGGTTAAAAGTAGAAACTGTTAGAGTTGTTTAGATACTCAAATATTCGTTAGAATAGTATAATTTAGATAATAAACAATTTTATAGATAAAGGATTAGAAACTTTAGAAGTTTAGATGGCCAAATATTCATTCATAAAATTGGTTGTAGGTCTTCGTTTATTCAAAACAGTGCAATAATGGTTTTTCTTCTTATTGATTTTTACAAAGAACAATTTCAAATTATAGAAAGTTTATAGCTATTTTCCATCTAAGTTATTTTCAACTCTCTACGTTTTTTACCATGCAAAAAAATTTAGATAGTGTTTAACATCATATAGAAACTGTTTTAATCACAAATATGCGACAGAATGGTAAAAAAAATATTTTTAGAGATTATAATTCATTTTATGCTGAGTGGGTAAGTATATTTTTAATAGGGTTAAAAGTAGAAAATGTTAAAGTTGTTTAGATACTCAAATGTTCGATAGAATATTATAATTTAGATTATAAACATTTTTATAGATAAAGGATTAGAAACTTTAGAACTTTAGATGGCCAAATATTCTCGTTTAGGAAAGATTAGAAACTCAAATATCTCTATGTTATTTTACCATACAAAAAAATTTCAGCCCAAAATTTGTTAATTTTCTTTCATTACAGTTTAAATTACTTGAAGAGGCATAATTTTTCATACATAAATAGCCATTCTTATTCAAAACACAACTAATATATTAATATCCGATTGAAGAACATATAAGAAAATTTCCATTTCAACATATGGAAATACCCCATTGTAGCAAAATATTAAAATCAACATAATATAATATCCAGATAACAAACTGGATATGCCACAAATATTTCAGAAATTGTCTAAACCCCATAGGATAACTGGACAAAGTCCAGGAATGTGCAAAAAAGACAAAAAACCAAATCATGTTCTTCCCCATGGGTTTCAATCAGTACAGATTTCCAAACATTCATTTTTCCAAATGCTCCCTTTTCACCTTCTTCTTGGAAGTTGTTGAGAGCTCGTCAAGAAGTTGTCTCTTAACGGGATCATTCTCATCAATAGCATCCATCTTCCTCCGTGAAGTCGCCTCGCCTTGGCTAGAACTTAGGTTGTTTGATCCAATCTACATAGGAAAATAAAATGTTAGTGGGACATTATAGTGTTTAATAGAGACCGAATAATAAATAACGAATTGTATAATAAGGTTAAAATTTTATACCACTATTTCAACTTTTTGACTAAGATCTTCAAGAGAATTCCACAAATCAACATCTTCCTTTGAGTCATCATCAACAATGTCCAAAACATGTTCATACTTCTTGAGAATTCTTGGATCTGAAACAAAAGACCGTACCCCAAAAGATCTGGGACCGTTCCAATGAGGACTACCCCCCTCGGACTTGACAACAACATTAAACAAACCTTTTCTCCCAATTAAATGGTTCTGCTCTTCCGGGAACAAATTTGGGTCCATCTTTCTCTGAAATCATTAAATATAGAGTTATTCGTTACAAAATGTACTTTTTCCTCCAAATTTTTTAAAACATTTACAATGAAAATTCATGATACCTCAAGCATCATCTCTCTTAGAAGAAGGGCACTCCCACCCAATATGTCTTTGCACTCTCGGTCCCAAAGCATAAAAGAGGCATGGCCGGTGATGTCAAAAACGTGGACATTAACTTTAAACCTATACGTTAAATCGATAAAATATTAAATTCCCATCGCATTATATTATCATAGAATCTACCTCATAAGTTGTAGAATTAGTAAGTACAGATTACAACTTACTTGTAAACACCATGCGGCATCCTAAGATCACATCCCGAACATGTAAATTGGGAACCATCAGGTATAACCTTCTTGTTGCATTCGATGCACCCCAAGTAACACCAATCAGGTGTATTTTCAAGATATGAAATCTCACCAAGAATCCAATATGTCCCGGGCTGTTTATTTAAATATTAAAAATTATTTAAAAAAAATTTAAGTTTATATTTCGACAATCATGCATGTAAGATTGTACAATGCTTAATATAAATAATTTATTTTTTAAAATCTAACCTTAGTTGTATCAATCAGAGTCTTCAAAGGGGTGATTTTTAGAGGCTCATTCACTTCTTCATTTCCACCATCCATCATCAAAGTATTCAAGCTACTCACATCATCAACTTGTAGAGGTAGGCTACAAAAAAATTGTCTTTAGTTAGAATTTTAAAATACAAAGAGAAGTCATAAATACTATAGAGGGCAGTTTCGTATGGTACCTAGCTCGGAATCGATTAACTTCATCAGAGTTTCCATCGAAAATCATCTTCGTGACATGAAAAGATGTTGAAACAGTTACTGTGCTTGTCAAATAATTTAAATTAGTCCAAAATATATTAATAACCTTCAATCTCAATGAAATTGATATTGATGAATATTGAGGAAAAGATTAATTACCCTGGTATCGCCTAGGCTTACAGAAGCTAAGAAGTAAGATAAAAGGTCCCGAAACACCTTGGGTCACACAATTCAAGAATTTCTCCACATACTCGCCCCATAATGTGCAAGCCAAACGGTTGCCTCTGCATTTTTTCGTTTACTTAATATGTCGTTAAGAAATTGCTCTTAGGTATTATTTATAAATATGTGCGCATACTCATGATCCTCAAGTGTTATTTCCATTAGCTTCTCTTCTCCACCCCGTTTAAAGTACGTTTGAACTTTTGATCGCCCAACAATTTTTCCTATGACATCTGCACAAGCCGAAAAATATCTTCAATTTTTTATTTGACAGCAAATTTGATCAAGGAAAATATCTTCAAAAAAATCTTTTGAATGGATTTTTAAAATGCACAAATGTTTATTCCGAACGCCGCATATCCAAAAAATATATATTTTCATTTGAACGCACAAATTTCAAAATAAATACAATCCAAAAAATTTATTTTGAATGAAAACAGATTTTGTGGAAGAAAACTAATTAGTTTTGTATACCGATGAGAAGTTGGTCGTTCAAACACGGTTGAGATTGAAGGTCCGAAAATGATTTCAAATCGAACTTGAAATTGGGAAAATCTTTTTCACTCAAAGTCTTGACTTCTGTTTTTGGATAAAAAACCAACAAATATTTATGCGAAGTTGTCTTGCATGTTTGGTAATTATCATTAACAAAAACATTTCGGATTCCAAAAACGCCATCTTCAACAATTTGGTTTTCAAAACGCTTCTTTTCGGGACTCTTAAGTTGAGCATGAATCCTTGTTCCCTGCATAAAAAGGAGAAAATTTTTAGAAAATAAGTTTAAAAGAATGAAAATATTGTGTAAGAAAGTATGCTAAGAAATTACGCATTCGTTGTGGAAGATGACTTCTAAGGAATCTCCGCCCTTAGACCAAGCCGGAACATGGTAAACGCGGATTGCTCGCAACTTAAGTATCCATCCCGTTTTTTCGTTATCAATTCTGTCAAGCATGTGCCACATTTCGTTTAAAGGCTTTTTGGACATAATGGTATTCTTGTTGATAAGGAAGTTTTGTGGGTGATGGAGAATTTGGCCCTCCTACTTCGGTTAAATAATGGTCTTGGATAGGTTTGAGAATCTCTTGCATTTAATGCCCATGTACCATAAGAGTTTTTCAAATCCAAAGCATTAAATGCATCAGGAAATTGGGTTCCTAAAAAGTGCTTTTCCGTTTTAAAAAGTGTGCTCACACGCCCCATTATTGTTTTAATAATTAAATAAGCTGCCTCAGCCGTAAAAAGTGTGCTCACACTTACCAAATATTTTTTTTAATTATTACCTATGCCGCCACCCTATGAAAAAAAGCAGCCCTATTTTAAATATACTACTGTTAAACACAGCCTGGTGCATAACACTTGCTGGCCAATATCCGTACCAGGCCCATCACATAACCCAGCCCAATTAGCCCATACCTGACCCAAGAATTCTAGGCGGGAACACTGTTCATTTTGGCCTCCTACCATTGTATATATGGAGATTACTAATTTACATTTTAACTAGATCAGATCAAATCAGATCAGAAATAGTTTTAATTGTAATTGCAAACAAAATAGATCAAATCTGATAGGATTAAATCAAATCTTCAAAAAATCAAATAAGATATCATGCGAACACAACGCAGCCAAATACTCTTCCGCATCTCTCCCCTCTACCAATTGGCTATAGTGGTCACTGTAGCTAGTCAGCAAAGAGAAGAGGGTTACTTTTTACGTGATTGTCCTTACATGACTCAAATGAAATACATGATTTTTTAACTTATCAAAAGAAGTACTGTAGTTATAATTTTTAAATTTTCCCCACAAAGTTTCGAACCCTGAAGTTTGTTCAAATCAAGCTTCGAGATAAGACCATGAGGGCATAATAAAAGTACGAGGTAGATATTGTAAACCTACGGAGGGGTTCTCGTGGATGACTCGGAGCCGCTACAATGTGTTGTTTGTAAAATTGACAGTTTTTACTCTCTAACTCTCTCGGTAAATTCCCTCATCCTGCTCTGACCCGAACACACCTCCCCCCCCCCCCCACTTCAATTGAAAGGCGTGGGGGGAGGGATGTCTGAGTCAGGGAGGGTTGAAGGATATACCGGAGGGTACGAAGATCAATTTTACGAATGAAACACTGTACCGGTCTCGGGTCATCGTATGACATGGGTCTCAATGTCATAAAAACCCTGTAAATCTAAGATGCATGATAAATTTTCATTTATACACCGTATGTACTACAAGGACGGCTCAGAGGTGTGTAGAGCCCACTATTATTAGATGTTTATTTCGTAATAATTTGATATTTTTAGAAGTTAATTTTTAAACGTATAACAATAATAATCCAATAGAGTCGAACAAAAAAGTCATGCAGACCTTATCCCAACGCAAAAATAGAGAGATTATTTCCAAAAAGTAGTAATTAAAAATCAAATTTGGTATTGTACTAATTTTAAAACAAAAGCGCTCCACACAAAACAAATAGGACCTAAAACATGTATTTAGCACATGATAATTACTTTTTTCATTTTCGGGCCGGCCTAATCTACTATAAAGCATACCATAATTGGAAAATTAAAAAAAAGAATGATATGAAAGTGCTTCTATGATGCACTTTGGATATATAATATTTTTGTAGATATTCTTATATAAAGTTTTTTTTAAAAAAACAAATGCTCATCTATTGAAGTGTGTACTTTCTTCGTCTCAAGTAAAAGTATCGATTTATTACTTTATATTATGAAATGAGTGGTGAAAATAATAAATAGGAAATGTATTTTGGGCAGGTGGAGTGAAGAATTGTAAATTTCGATAATTGTTACAAAGTATTCACCTCCCCTTATATACATGTGAGAGGGTAAAGAATAAGGAAACAACATTAATATAGAATCCTATACAAAAATAGAATCTACCATATATAATAACTACATTAAATATGTTATATAATGTCAACATATTTAACATACTACCAACTACGTCGGTGATGGTCGAACACCAAGGTTGTGTCGGAAATCAGTGAAGAGAAGTGACGACAATCCTTTGGTGAAAATGTCTGCGAACTAGGACGAGGATGGCACATGAAGAACTCGAACTTGCCTTAGTGCAACTTTATCTCTAACAAAATGAATGTCTACTTCAACATGCTTGGTACGTTGGTGTTGTACTGGATTCGATGACAAATAGACGGCACTAACATTGTCGCAGAACACGATGGTGGCACGGCGTAGAGGTTGGTGGAGTTCAAGAAGAAGATTTCGAATCCAACTGGTTTTAGCAACTGCATTGACAACAGCCCTACACTCTACCTCAGCACTAGATCGGGAGGTGGTGACCTGCCGCTTAGAAGACCATGAAACCAGATTGTCCCCTAAGAATACACAATAACCAGAAGTGGAGCGCCGCGTGTCTAGACAACCCGCCCAGTCTGCATCCGAGTAGGCCTGAAGGAGATCTGATGAAGAGCGAGAGAGAGAGATTTTGTGGGTTACTGCGCCTTGGAGATAACGGAGGACCCGTTTTAAGGCCGTAAAATGAATCGTTCGTGGAGAGTGAAGGTAGAGACATAGCTACTGGACTTCATAAGTGAGATCCGGCCGAGTAAATGTAAGGTATTGAAGTGCACCAACAAGGGAACAGTAGAGAGAGGCATGGGCTGTAGGTTCCCCAGATGTGGCAGAAAGCTTCCCTTTACAGTCAACCGGTGTGGAGATGGGCTTACAGTGGAGCATACCTGCCCTGTCCAGAATGTCTTGCGCAAACTGTGTCTGATGCAAGAAGAGACTACCTTCCTTAGTATGTTGAACATTAATGCCAAGAAAAAAATTTAGCTCCCCCATATCAGTCATGGCAAACTCCCCCTTCAGTCGTTCCGTGATATGAGATAAAAGTGTAGTTGTCAAAGCTGTAAGAACAATATCATCCAAATATAAGAGTAAATATGCCATGTGCGACCCATTTTTGTAAACGAAGAGAGAAGTATCTGTCTTGCAACTCTGAAATCTAATATGCCGGAGAAAACCTGCAAATCGTAAATACCAAGAGCGGGGTGCCTGTTTCAAGCCATATAGTTTCTTCTTGAGTTTGCAAACATGATGTGCGCGTGAGGGATCCTCAAAACCAGAAGGCTACCGGGCATAAACAGTTTCCTGGAGGTGGCCATGAAGGAAAGCATTCTTGACATCTAGCTGATGTATGGGCCAGACCCTAGATAAGGCCAGACTGAGGACAATGCGAATGGTGGCCGGTTTGATGATCGGGCTGAACGTTTCGTTGTAGTCAATGCCAAAACGTTGGTTGAAACCTCGAACAAGCCAACGAGCTTTGTACCTGGACATATCACTTGTGGGTGCAAATTTATGTCGAAATAACCATTTTCCTAAAATAATATTTTGGGTGGGGGAGGGGGATACTAATTGCCATGTATTATTATTAATCATCGCTTTGAATTCATCACACATTGCATCATACCAGTTTGGATCTTTGAGTGCGCTACGGTAGGTGGGGGGAAGTGGAGAGATTGTGACCGAGGTGTTTAGGTTAAGGATGTTAGCCTTGGTTTGCTAAGCCTCGTGTTTTGATGTTAACAAACAATATAAGAGCTAAACGTTTGTTTAAATGTTTCAGGTACAACAAGAATCCATTAAGATTCAATACTCAAGAATGAATTCGAAATACTAAACTAGCGTATAATATAGGTAGAAACCAATGTAAGAATATAACTTTATATATCTGTATTCACAAGCTCAAAAGCACTCACAAAATATGTTTAAAACCATCCCATAAACATTTTCAAACATTCAAAAGGTTTTAAACTCAAACAAGAAGGATTAAGAAAATTTTGGAAAACACAGGACAGTGGCACGGTACCCTGAACGGTACCCTATACCGCCTACACGGTAGGGTATACCGTTGACACGGTACTCTAGTACCGTTAGACACCAGGTACCGCCAAAGCAGATTGGAGTTTTAGTGGAACACGGTACCGAGGTACCGCCACTCACGGTACCCCCTACCGTACGCACGGTACCATGCTACCGTGAGGACGGTACCGACCTACCGTGACCGTTGGGTTACTGTTCCTGATTTGTGATTTTGAATTAAATCAACCCTAATCACCTCCCAATAGCTAATTAACATCTTCCACTATAAATACAAGCCTAATCATTTATTTTCTAATAAGAAACAAAGCTCCAAATATCCTACTTTAATATTTCAAGTGTGTTTATTCTTCTATTCTTAATTCTTCATATTTTGGCTATTTTGAGAGCCTTAATCTCTTGATTTTATACACACACTTTGAGCTTGTGTTTCTAGTTATATACTCTCATATTCATAAGTTTATATTGTATTTTTGAGAGAGTATAATTTCCTTCTACACCGGCTAAGTTTTGTTCTTCATTTTAATATTCTAGCCGTTGTGTAGAATCCTTGATTGTGTTCATCAAACACACTTTCTTACGGTCGAGAATAGCCGTTAAATTCTCACGTTGTAACGGTTAAGGATAGCCGTATAAATCCTTGGGTAAAGGTTCAAGGATAGCCTTTGAAATCCTTGGGGGAACAATAGAAGATAGCCGTTAAATCTTTATTGTAAACGGTTCGAGATAGCCGTTGTAAAATATCGGAGTGAATCCTATTGGAAAGGGTTGTTTGCCAAAACTAGTGCGGTGCTTTGACGGAGTTCAAGAGATCAGGACTTAGTGGATTCAGAAATCCTTAAGGAGGAGCCTTAAGGTACTGGAGTAGGGAGTTCCCAAACCAGTATAAAATCGGTGTGCATTTTATTTACGCTTTTATTTCTACGTTTTATATATTGCTTCCGCATTTGCCAACACCGTTTTTATCAAACTCCGAAAAGTTTTCAAACGCCTTATTCACCCCCCCTATAAGGCATGGGCACAACGACTAAAACCGACTAACAGAGGATGGATCAAACTCCGAAAAGTTTTCAAACGCCTTATTCACCCCCCTATAAGGCATGGGCACAACGACTAGAACCGACTAATAGATGATGGATTTCGCGCAGGAGATACCAGATTTTGCGCGAGTGGTCATAGGATGGATGTTGGTTTGTGGGTTATGCACCACCGGGTTGGTGGGCTGGGCCGAGGGCAAGGGTGAGCGGAAGGGTGAGTGAGGTGGTGGGTTTGGGTTGGTTGGGAGAAGGGTGATTGGGTCAATTGGGAGAGGAGGGGGGTACTGCGTTGGGCCGAGGCCATGCGTGGGGCGGGCCTTTTGGATTGGAGGGGGGTGGAGTGGGAAAGTTGGTGAAGGTGGTAGGGAATGGTGTTCTCCATGATGTCAAGAAATTAAAGATCAGAGTGTTGGGAAACGAGGCTTGGATAACGCAGCGGAAAACAAAAATTTATAGTCCAAAACTCTATTCCACCCAAGAACAACTTACGTAAATTACTAGCTATAGTAAGAAATTTACCTTAACGGTGAAAACGAAGAACGGAGGAACGGTCGGGGATGGTTTTGAGGAGATGAACGTAGCGCCAAACGTATGAAGCCTCCAACGTATCCACACGAACTTGCTCCGGAGTCCTAGATTAAACTTGTGCTAGCAAGTTTAATTTAGGATAGTAAAAACTATAATAATACTACTTTGGGAGTAATAAATATATAGTAAAATATTTATCTTATAAATATTTCTTTATAATATTTTGTGTATATTTCTAACACTTTAGAAAAATAACTTTGAACACAAAATAGGATTTTTCTTCTCTCTAAAATGGGATGGCCGAAACTATTAAGTGTAAAAGGGGAGGGATTGTTTTTTCATTTTATAATAAACAACTTAAATGAATTTCTAGGAAATAGCTTAGGGACAAAACAAATTAGGATTAATGTAATGTCCCCAACCAACACAACAAGACAAATATCCTTTTGTTAATCAAATATTTGATTATATCAATCAAATATATCATTAGGTAGAAAATCAATTTATGTCTTGTAT